GCAGAGGACACACTGTTAATCAAGCAGAGGGATGAAAGCGTCCCAAACATGTCCGTCTCCCTCTGGGAAGTCAGCCTTTGAAAACTTAAAAAGCTCCCAGAAAGAGAAACTGACAGTTTCTCGATGTTTACGCCATCCCAGTTTTCCTGCGGGGAAGAAGACAGTGAAAAAAGATAGCTCCTCTCCGTGTGATCCTTCCGCTTCATAGAGCTCCATCTCTGCAGGACCATAAATATATTTAGTGCGAGTCAGACCGGGTAGTACTGTAATCAGTTTGCTTTGATTCAACTTTTGGATTTGTTGTTTATTCTATCTATTCCTCCTTCACAGTATGAATTCAAGTTGAAGAACATAAAGAAAAAGAAGGTCAACATTGTCGTATCTACTGACTTCGTCAAAGTGATTTTGCGCAAAAAGAGGAAGGTCAGTCTTGCACAACCACATATGATTTTTCCATTTACTTGTTTTCACACCTTGAATGACATCTTTGTTTTAAGTCACAGTTGTCAGCTGTGTGATTTTTGTCTTGAAACAGAGAAAAGGGTGGTCGTGGGACGACAACACCATCTTGGTGACACAGGATCCTATCTACAGGTGGGCCCTCTCGACTGTAACAAAGTGTACATGTCGCTCTGCTGGAATATGTTTACATGCATCCAAAACACAACCTCCCTGTCAGGCTGTGCAACGAAAAGCTTCGTTTTAGTACCCATCTCTTTAAGATGCACATCTCGAAAAGTCCAGACGTCTCATCCTCATTCCTCATTTGATGTGACAAAAGCTAAGAAATGCAGGTCTCATATTTTAAGAGCTGCCATCATAAAACTTTGGTGAAAAAGAAGTCTGTGTGTGGCTTTTAACTTTTCTCTCAGTGATCATTTTACTTGTCAGATCCAAAATCAGCATAAGCGATTGAACTTTATGTGATTTTTGATAGGGTTAAAAAATAAATCAGGACATTAGCAGAGCAGAGCAGCTGGTCCATACATATTTCAGGTTTATGTGGAAACTTTAAAGTTAAACTACAGTATGCGGTGTAGCGCTTCATACATTTGCTTGCATGTGAAAAGTCCTCTGTTCAAGACCAGGAGGAAACACAAACCCAGCCTCAAGCTGGTGTTCTCCCAGTGCTGCTCCCAAGCCGGGATAAATCCTT